TCAAAAACAATACAACATGAATGCACTCCTCTTTCTTACTACTGTACATTCTTGAAGGTGAAAAAGGTCTTCAAATTGATCATTTTTTCAAAATGATCTTCAGGGTCTCAAAAATGCAAATCTGACTTTAGATTTTACAATTATTGACCGTCAATGACCTCAATGTAAAGAGGGTCTAGAAGGTATTTTTCAACTTGCTTCGAATTGACCGAATTTACAAAATCACTTACAAGTTTTCAGAAGTCAAATCTGACGTTTGATTTGACATTTGACCTCTCAAGTTCAAAAAGGTATTTTTCAACTTGCTTCAAATAACCTTTTTATTTTCAATATTTGACTTCAACTACAAGGTGGTGACATTCGTAATCTCATACCCATGTAAATGGGTGGTGATACAGTTTTTGAAGGGTTTAATTATTAAAGTTCTAAAAGATTGTTCAATCTAATGCTATCTGAGGTATAAATACATTCATAGTATCCATAGATGTGAAATTCGTCTAGTCAAAGATAGATAGATATAGAGTCATAAAATAAAGCCAGAATTGTTAATTTTAGTTTTTCATTGATTGTCAAAATAGCGCCATTCAAAGGACTTTTCAATAGAGAAAATCCATTCTAAATACGTTTTAAATAAGTTTTAAATATGTCAGGGTATTCTGTGTATCATTTTATTTAATCACAGCATGAAAAAAGATTATTGTAGTCTCAGGAATCGTAAATTCACATGAGAGTGTATTTTGTGCAGTTGTGCTTAACAGTGGATGATGATTCCATATTGAATAGGGGAGCAATCTAAATGTTGCAATATAGGTGACACCTTTTAGACGACTTCCTGAAATTTCCCAGCAAATAAAAAACGTTTTAGTGTAGATTGGTTCTATAGTGAACGAGCATTTCAATTAGGCATTTTTTATCGAGGATAAAATAGCAAAGGTAAACAATTTTGCAATTCTGGCCTTATTTATGATTAGAAAAATGTTAGATCTATAGGACCTACACGTAGGTCTACAAGTGCATTAATGCACCTACAATTCATATAATCTGAATAATCTGAAACGTTAGAATTAAACTCTTCAAAGAATATATCATGCCCCAAGTACGCGGGTACGTGGGTATGAGGTATAAGGTTTTTCATACAAAGCCCGAGGTATTGACTGAGGGAATAGAGTGATCGAGTGCCAATATCATAATTACACAAGTAAATACACCTATTGTCAAAGGGTAAAACCCATAGCATTAAACTGTTTATTCCATAAAAATTCCAATCAGCAAACACAATTCAATAAAGAGAACAGGTGCGTTTATTGGCAAATAATATCCCCATGGTCAAAATAAATAATTCTTAGGTGTTACATGAAGAATAGAATGTTATATAACTCTTTGGAAAATATTAAAGTGCTCGGGCACATATAGACTGAGCCATTTAGTTCAGTTAGGTTGTATTGACTTACATGGGGTCGAGCATCGTTGACTTAACATGAGGATATCAACAGATCCCTATAGATGCCATTGGTTTCCATTGATTATCACAAAAATACCAAAAATACACTATGAGCTGAATCGACAGCAACCTTAATAATTTCATAATATGACACAACTGGTTTATCTCATCAAATGTGCAAATATGATGTTTGCAATCGATTCAGGTCATACTTAAAATTAAATGATTGTGCATTTTTTCATCATTTTTTCCCTACAAAATGGCTATAGAAAAATGCTCCAAAAACAACTTTGACACTTATCAAAAATCATACAACTTTGTAAAACCAAAGAATATACTATTATATTTCATTATGTAGTAACATATGTGGATAAGATGTAGGAATGCTTAGGATCCAAATGGATTTTGACAGACATAAAAATACTTCCTGGTTTGGAATCTATGCCTCTACACTTCATGATTGAATTATGACCCTAATAAGTGGCCTATACACCAATACAGTGCTGAATATAGGTCAACAAGATACTAGTGTGCATATAAATGTAATAATTAAAGCAGAATACTCATGTTGAAAAATCAGATGAACTATTTTTTCTCATAGGGAGATCCCAATGGAGAGTGCATATGGTCCTTTGAAATGAACAAAAAATGCAACAAATGTTTGGTCAAACCATTTGAGAAAATTATTATCTGCATGTACTCTAGATCTGTATACAGTGGTACCTGTATCAATACCTGCTACATATAACACTATTCGAAAGATCATTTACAGCAAACCCCTTTACAGAAGGCACTTTCGAACACCCAATATGGTTGATGATAAAGAAAGGTATTTCCTCTTATGTGTTTTACTAGGTGTTAAACACATTTATGTTTTACTGTACATACTTTACACGACACAGTCATGTTGACATATCCATGTTCATTTCTATAATACGCAATTATGCAACAATGAATACACACTCAGGGTATTAAGCACTCACCTATGTAGAATATATCATGCCATATATGGAACATATATAACTCTATCTATAAACATCATTGCATAAAATAGGGTACATCTAAATGCCGCTCTAAGTGACATCTTTTCATACACTTCACACTAAGGTCATGGCCTATGAGGTAAAAATGACAAATGGATTATCAGATAATGCTTAGATCATTCCTTGCAATAAATTGTAATTTTGCCATAAAAGCTGAAATAAAACGCTGCATTTTTGGTGAAAATTGCGTCAGAATTAGGGAAGATGATGGTTGGATTAGGAACAGCTTAAGAGATAATCCATTCAACTTGATTATCATCCTACTGTCATTTATTGAAGAAAAGACATGGATCTAACAGAGCCTTTTGTTTTGTGGCTAAAGTATTCTTCGACCTAAAGATATAGCCCTTTGAAAATGGCTTGCCATATCTTACGTGCCCCTTTGTTGATATTTGTGATTTTTTTCTTTCGGAATGCACATTGCTGGATCACAGAACCTTGCCTTGTTCGAGATGCACGAAAAGTGTATTGTTAATACTTGTTCGGATATTTGGATGTGATTGACGTTTTCGTTAATCTCCTACCACTGTAACTTCCAACTTAATTTTTGAAAGCCAAATATGATAGTCACGAATTGATATTTAAGTCACACGTTGATGCAAACATCATGTGTGTACATTAACTGTCGAATACATGCCGACTTACATTTATATAGATATCCACTGTTAACTCAAATCATCGATTCTCGAAACAGTTTATCATATAAACTGGTGAGTTTAATGTTTCATTTTAATTTATGATTATGGTATCGGATTTGAGTATGATATTAGTCGAGTCTTAAACAAAGCAATAAAATTACGTTTAACCTTTTGTGAAAATTCGAACGACTTTTCAAAAACCTCCTTCAAAGTGTTACCAAAGTGCTACCCGGGAGTGGAAATTTCGTCTTGTGTAATCAAAATAATAGCGGGTGGTTTGAATTTTTGTTTGAGTTCATAGCTTACATCTATAAATTTAAAAACATATCGCCTCATTGAGAGGTAGATGCAGATTTTGGCGATCTATCATTATAAAAGGCTGAATATTGTGCAAAAACAGGAGTTGACACGCTTACATTTGGAATTGAAATTTCCTACATAATTGTCGACTCATGTTTAAAAGTCATGAAAACAAGGTTGAACACAAAACATTGACCCAGTTACTATCTATTTAGCACGGGATAACTAAGGGAAATATTATTAGTGACTTAAATCGTTAACAGTTAAGTTGTATTCAAAGAAACTTATCAATTTCGAAATGCAAAGACGTGTCGCAAAAAGGTGGCGCATTTGTTTTTTAAGGGTATCGCGTGAATGTAACTTTGATTCCCCGGATTATAAGATAATATTCTGGTAAAAGTTATATATCATTTTAAAGCTGTTTCGATGAAGTTTTTAGATCAACTACACTCCGTTTACGATTCTTGCGCGTTCTTTTTTAAAAAAAGAGTTTTTTACCAAAACATCTGGCAAATATCCCCTGTTGAAACGTTACATTTTGAATTATTTTCCGTCTTTAAACGCTCATAACTCAAACAATTTATGACTATTATACTTATTTTTCGTCTTGATAAAGGTAGATGGAAGTTTTATTTCAAAGGATGAATTTTAGTAAGCGTCCGATATTGTGACGTCATAGAGTTTGAAAAATAGAATCTGTTGACAGCGACCTTTTTTGCTCATTTTTTGTTACCTTCAACTTTTCAGGTGTACATTAAACAAAAAATACGAGATCAATTTTTAATAAATCACACATGATTATTTTGCTCCTAAACTCTAGTTTATTAATAAATAGTTGATTTTGTTCTCAAAAGTATGTGTTTTCTGTTGTATGTGGAAAAGTGGAGGACGAAAGGTTTTCAAAATTCATTAAAATAGGGCTAATTTACGACATTCGCCTATTTTCAAGCACAGCAACACGTATATTTATTTCACCTAAAATATCAATTGATTCGTGTTTTATGATGCTCCTATCCCATTGTTAATACATATACGATATCAGAGTTATTCGCCTTAAATATTTTGAGATAAAGAGGCAAATGTAAAGGACGAAAGGATTTCCATATGTGTACATTTTTCTCAAAAAACGTCACATTCTATGGTGTTAAAAAGCGAAAATGTGTAACAATGCGTGCGCGACCTTTTTGCGACACGTCAAAATATTCAATTTTGTTTTTCAATTATAAAAATGGCACCTGTAAAGAACAACGTTTACAAAATTATTTAAAACGGAGATATTTACTTATGTAGCATTCGTTGGCATTTTATCATTCCGAACTCAAACATTTCGAATACTTATTTCGTGAACGCTTTGTTGAGAACGGATTTAAGATGTACTCAAAATTAATATGTTAAAATGTGTATTATCATCTTAATAACCACCTCACAAATTATTTTGGAAATCTAAGATGTACGATTTTTGAGATTTTTATATTCGAATGTTGACTTAGTTACTCGACTTGACTGACCTATGCCCGCGTGGGGGGTTGGGGGGTGTATAACGAAAATATTTGAATACAGTTATAAATTTAGACTTACTGGTAAACATTGATCCAGCTCCAGTCTAAATAAGGGAAACAAGTTAGTGGCATTATTGACATCCAAAACCGCCTGCTCTGCGAACTTGCATGCGTCATTTAGGAATCCATATGAGCTAAAAATAAGATTTCCTATCAGAATTGTATCTCGTTTTTTCAGTGT